AGGCGTAATAATAATAATTCAGGTGTGATTCAAATAGAGAACGTTGTGGAGGCCGAGGCTTTTGAAATTTCAGTAAACTCTTCAGTAGTTTTGAGAAGAAAGGTTTGCCATTTGAATAGGCAGCATTAAAAATCTTTTCATTTTCTCTGCCACTTTGGGCAGTGTTCTTACTGCTGATTCTGTCTACCTCTTCATCTCTCTGCTATCCTTTTTTCTGTACCTCACAGCATACAGAATGCTGAAAGCCTATTTTTTCATATGTATACATGAAAAGTCTGCTTTCCTTCATCTCGAGAGCACAAAACCAAGATTAGCTTATTTGGAAGGTGATAGTTCATCTTAGAGAATGTATTTCACAAGAGAAGGGGCTGAAGAATGCATGCTCATTCTTGGAGCTCTTTTCATTTCATGTTTAATGAACGTGTTTTTGAAGTCCTATTAAATTAAATCAGCGCTGGGCTTTGTGAAAAGATTCATCTCCGTGTGTGTTCAAATTTGTTTGTTAACTTAGGCAACAAAAAGATTTCCTTGTTTTTTTTCTCATTATGATTCTTACTGAGAAGGCACTGAAATAGGAGATGTTCATCTGGATCTTTTGCTACTACTGGAGCATTTGAGAGTTGTGGGACTGCATCACAGGAGTGTAGTGAAGTTTGATCATCAGAATATCCCAGTAATGGAAAGTCAGGCAATGAGCCCATGTGAGAAATATCAGTTCTTGATGCCACCTGGTACTGCAGGCCAGTGGTGCCTTTTGAATACAGCTGTGGCTGTAGAGCTTGTTTAAATGTGGCAACCTTTTGTGAGTGACAGCTCAGGAGCAGTTACGTTATTCTGAATGATACATCCTCTGTAAGGATGAAAGGAAAGCTTAAAATTCACATATGCCTTGGTCAAAGGGGGCTTCTTAAAATAAGTAAACAGCTGAAAACGCAGTGTCTGTTTTAAAACAGCATAAATAGCACCACATTTTCCCTTGAGAAAAGCAGACTAGATGCATTAGTAATGCACTTGTAAAACTAGTAGTAGGATTTATCTTGCTTAAGATTCATCTGAATGTATAATATTCACTTGTATATGCCTGGGCTTGTCATCTAGATTACATATATAGTCAGTAGGGAGAAACAGGCACCTCCCAGAAGTTGAGTCAATCCAGCCTTCTTAGATCTATGCTGTTGGAAGACAGTTTCTTTCTGTTGAGTCTGTTTCTATGTGAACTGTAGAGAGAGCACAGACAGCTAGTTTTGGAAACTAGGAGAGCACGAAGTGGCAATGCAATCCATCCTACTTACACATCTAAGACAGCTCCCATTTTCTTTAAGGAAGAGACCTTGGATGTCATCCTCGTTTCCTTCATTCTTTAATTTGTAGAAGATCAGAGCTTGCACAGCTGCTGTTTGCAGGCCCATCCCGATGTGCTCATTGATTTGGCAGGAACAGGCACAGGTGCTCTCCGTAATTTCTTGACCCAGCTGTATGATGAGTAATTAGCTTTCCTTAGGCATAGCTTAGGGATGTGACACGATAAGGATGCACTGGCAGGGTGGTCTGCAGTGTTCTTCCTGAGTGTTTCACGTGTAGGTTGTGCTCAAGTGGAACAGAAAAAGCTGGAGAGTGTCAGCCTCATCTCCTTTGGCTAACACAGGATCCCAGAACCGTAGGTTTTGGAAGGGAACTTTGAAGATTCTTCAGGCCAACCCCTTGCCAAAGAGTTCCCTAAGGAAGTTGCTCAGGAAAGCGTCCAGGTGAGTTTTGAATATCTCCAAGGAAGGAGACTCCTCCGCCTCCCTGGGCAGCCTGTTCAGGGCTCTGGCACCCCAGGAGTTCTCCCTCATGTTCAGATGGAACTTCTCACCTTCCAGTTTGTTATTTTGCCTCTTGTCCTGCTGCTGCACGCCACTGAAAAGAGCCTGGCCCCAACTGCTCGGCACCGGCCCTTTAGATATTGATAAACACTGGTCAGATCCCCCCCAGCCTTCTCTTCTCTATGTGAACAGCCCCAGGGCTCTTAGCCTTTCCTCGTAAGGGAGATGCTTCAGGCCCTGACCATCTCTGCAGCCCTCCCTGTGCTCTCTGCAGCAGCTCCCAATCTGCCTTGAAACAGAGGAGCAGAACTGGACCCAGAGCAGAGGGGAGGATCTCCTCCCTGCACTGCTGGCCACGCTGTGTGCAATGCACTCCAGGGCACCATTGGCTGTCATGGCAGCCAGGGCACACTGCTGGCTCACGTCAGCCTGGTGGCTGCTTACTGATGTCTGTTGCACCCTTGAGTACCTGGAGATGATGTATGTTCTCCAATTTCTGCCAGATCTTTGGAGACATTACTGTGATTATTCAAGGCTGCATCAACCCCATCATTAGATTGTTAGCTTGGTTGCACCATGCTTGAAAAGCAGCACTTAGCATGAAGGTGGGACCATTTCCAAGAGACTGTTGGGATGTAGCTGTTACGACAGGAAGAGTGAGAAATTTTAATGATATTAGCAGAGTCTGTGCCTAAGAATGGATCTGGATGCATTTAATTTGCTGATATAACTGTAGCCTTTATGCTTTCAGCAAAGGCATAAATGATTGATTTGTTCTTGTCGACTGAAACATTGTGAGCATGTAAAATATTATCTCAAGAGGAGAGAGGGAGGTAGGTAAGAGTTTCCATTTCGTCATAATGGTTTCTAATTTGCTTAATGGAGTGCCTCAATTTATGTAGGACATTGTTGTAATTTCTTGTGTTTTGCTGTAATCTGTTTTTTTATTTTTGGACGAAAGAGTGAGATGTGACCTATTGAAGAGGCTGTGTGATTTACTTATTTGTGGTGACTTGTGACTCTGGAAGCCTTGGAACAAATGTTTGCATGGGATCCCTCGTAACACTGTAAAGGTTCTGGTGTTTATTTTCCCAAAGCCAGGTGTTACATCATTTTCCATACTGTCCATCTATCTCTGTCCCCTTCCCTGCAGCATTCTTGACTCTGAACGTTTCTGCTGCATTTTCTCTAGGCTGCAGAGCCCCACTCGGCTGTTTGTTCAGGGAAGTGTTTGGTGCATCCTTCACATTGCCCTCCTGTGGTCTTTTCCAGTTGTGTTCATTTCTTATTGAGATGGAGAGTCCAAAAAGACACACAGTAGTCAAAGTGTGAGTAAATCAGAAGTTCATGCAGTCAATAATAATCTTCCTTTCTTTCCGCAGTTCACAACAATGTCTGTTTCATTAGTGGCTTTGGGAATCTTTTTGACAGCTTCTGAGTGTGAAGCTGATGTTTTCCTGAAGCTATTGACCGTAACACCAACATCCGGCTCCTGATTACTGGCGGACAGTGAAGAACCTGTCATTTTCCACATGAAATCAGTTTACTTTTCTGAAGCACAGAGCTTTATCTGGTAGGTGGTGGCTTTGGAAGACCTCACAGAGCTTTTTTTCCATGGCTCTGCTCTTTTCTGCCATGAGAAAAGCTGCTGTTATTAGCAACCATCACAGCAACACCATCGCCAATATCTCTGCTTGTTTACCTGCTGCAGGTCTCTCCAGACAACAGCAAAGGGTGACTTCTCTTGAAAATGAAGTATTTTTACTGACTCATTCTCATCACATGCTCACTGGTGTCAACTCATTCTCTATTCTGTTTTCTTCTATTTTTTCTTGTTCAACTGCCAGGATTTCTGACTTGTCTTTCCTTTTAATATTTCTATTAGTGTGCTTCTAAATAATTTCCCTTAAGTTCTTTGTGACCTCTCTGAGTATGGGTATGTATGTTCAGCACGTTTGAAATACAGTCATTTGGCATCTGTGCAAGGATATTCACAGTGCATGGCTCAGCCCTTCCCTTGCTCTGTGAGCTGCATTTTCATTGCTCTCCACTTGTCCTGAGGCTTTTGTCGCTGGGTTGGTTACGGTCCCACTGCCAGCAATTCCATTTGTGTAAGCTGTGTTCATGTTCTGCACGTTGGATCCTGTAGACTATGAGAAATTTTCCATCTCTGGCTTTTATGGGCAGCATATTGTCTGTTTTTTGACAGAAACCGAATCAATTCTGAGGCTGATCATCTTACTCTGTTCTATTTAAAAAGGCTTTATCTCCTTAATTCGTTCAATCCGTATTCATTTATTCCATAAGATACCACTTATCCCCGTCTCTTTAATATTCAGGCTGTGTTTGCTGTCAGTATTGCAGAGCAGACTGTGCTTCCTCTGATGATTCCTTCTGGGTATGACTAGATGAGCTGTGCCTTGGACAGTGGAGCTCAGAAATTCAATCTCTGCAGTTAACGATAAAGCATGTGAGAGAAGCAGGTGAGCTTGTTGCACCTTGATTCCATTTGAAGGCGTGAAGCACTATGGATGAAATGGCACCTCCACCTTTGGTAGCACAGCTCGTCAGTAAATACATCTCCAGCAGTTTTAGAGTTGTTTGGATGTGTGATGGATGTCCTGTTGTGACCACGGGCGGTGGTGGCACAGGGCTGTTCTGTCTTACGGTGGGTTTGCTGCCAAAGTGCCTTCAGTCGTGCATGCTGTGAAGGTGCACAGGCACCGCTGCTGCCGTCAGCGAGCTGCCAAAAATGCATCCTTGTGAGAGCAAACCATTCTGTGTGACAGTTCTCCCCTTCAGAATCTGTCACCGGTTTCTCGTGCCCTGCACAGCGTTGTGTTCCCCCCTTTGCCTTACAAACGTTGCAATGTCTTTGATTCACGAGTTGTTTTTGCTCTTAGTGCTGCTGGCTGTGACAAGAGTGCTGCCATTTATCTTGTCGTGTTTTGTAGAAAGTGATCTTCAGCTGGTGTTTCACTTATGCAGTACCTCACAAGCACTTCTTCCCTTCACACCCTTCCTCTTTTTTCATTAGAAGATAATGTCTTCATGTGCTTGCTTCTCCTTAGGGTTGCTTTAGTAGGTTAGAAGGAACTTCTTTGCCATTGCTTTTCCAGAAGTCCTTCAGAAGCTGTTCTGATGTTCTGAGTTTGTCAACATAGTTTGGAGATTCCTGTGAGTGAAATATTCCCAAACCAAGTTTTGTTTTGTTTTATGGCAGTGTCCAGAGCAGGGATATGTCTGCAGGTCGTAGGATGTTCTCCTGAAGGAGGTCTGAATTTGATCATAGAGTTGCTCAGAATGAGCTTTTGCAGTTGCAAATTATAAGCACATACCATGCTTGCTTAGGAGGCTGCCCACTGGCTTTATCTTTGTAGTTCTCCCCTGTTTGTTGCTGTAAACTGCACAAGAATCCCACCAGCTCTCATTGAAAAGGGCAGGAAGAACAGGTGTTCTAAAAAGATCACGCCTGGTTATTGTAACATCTGCCTTATGTGGAATCCCATGTCAGTTTCCAGCACTGCAAGTAAACTTCATCTGTTCACTACCTCTATCCTGTTAGTCTCTGTTACAGTCACTGGACTGAACATGATAACATTTATTTTTCTCAAAATGATGGCAGTTTTAGAGGTTATCTGTCATGCAAGTGAGGCCTTTACTTTTAATTTAACTATTTCTGCATGTCCCCAAAGGTAATAGCTGCAGAACAGTGCCTCATACACAGAGATGCTGTTTAGGATGCAGTGGCCCTTTAATTCCAGTATGTATGCATGCACACGTGTGTTCTTCTTGTGTGAATCCCCTCTCTGTGTCCTGTTGTGGTGGAAGGAGACAACAGAAGAGGTGATAACAAAAGAGGTGATAACAACGTGCAAAAATTGTGATTATGAAGTTTCTAAGTTTGTGTATGTCCATTTTACAACATATGTGTTCATGTATATATATATAAAACAAATGTTTTTCAGGTGAAGAAATCAGTCGTAAAATCATTTGGGAGATCATGCAGTGCTGGCATTTAGTTACCTAAACTATTGAGCTGTTCAATCAAAGTAAGCCATAGAACTCTGCACACCAAGCGCAGATTCTGGAAGTCTGATCAGTGTGTTTGAATTCTTGCAGCTGCTCTGCCCTGCTGCTCCCCTGCTACCCACATCAGCCCTCTGACCTGCTGTGCGAGTCCCACAGCTCTGACCTACAGCCACTGCAGCTTCTTCCAGGTGAGTGCAGCGTGCTGCCGTCAGGTGAGAGCAGGGGGAGCTGGATGGGTGGTGATGGGCGCCAGAAAGAAGGATGGAAATCAGAAAACTGATCTACTTGAGAAAGTAAAAGGGAAGTGCTTTACAGGGTTTATTTCAAAGAACGCTGAAGGTTTGGAGAGGCACGTCTGGCAATGCCTGGGCAGGTTCCAAGGTAGCACTGTGGTGGATCTCCCCTTCGGTGCAGTGTTTTCCTCTGTATGAAATCTGTGCTTGACTTCACCAGAATTTGTTCTAGTTAACAAGTCTGCATTTATCTTTGAAGAATAACTTTGCCTGGACAAAATGCATTTCTGTAACATTATGGGAATACTGGGAAGGAGCTCCTTTCTTGTTATGTTTTGTTATGTCATCCCAGGCAGCATTCTGCAGGTTCATTCAATAACTGAGATGACTTTTGGGACCAGCCACACCTCAGAGATGCCCTATTAAAATAACTTCAGGTTTTTTCTGCATTGTCACCCAAGTTATAGAAAGCACCTTATTTGGAGGAGCTGCCTTATCAATTGCCAAAGATTTTAAGTAAAACTGCAAGGCTGCAATACTTTTGTATTAGATAATAATATATATACTCGTTTTTTTTTTTTTTTTTTTTTTTTTTTGTCACAGAGGCAAGCAAAGCAAGTTATGCTTTGTATGCTGAGAAAGGGTTTACCTACCCGAGCTTGATTATCCAGTTTCTTGTCTTGCAAATATCAACCTTTGTCTTTTATTCATGGCTTATTTTTTTCTTAATATCATCTTATCCAAGATGCTCATGTTACAGCCAGAATATTGTGCTGGTGTGGGTCCATAAATGGTCACTGGCCAATCGTGCCACTGGTACTCTCATATTAATTTTGCACATGGTTCATCTTTGTCTTCTAACTTTAAATTTGAGAACTGTGGGAGGTTTTTTTTTCCAGCTAGGGCACGGGAATGAGTCTGGGTGATGGGAAGTGATGATCAAATAAATTCTTATCATTGCATTTGGGATAGCAAATCATTCCAAGAGAGTTGTTAATTAGGGCTAGATGAATAAATGCACTGTCCAAAGTGCCCAGTGAAAGTGATTTGTTTGAAGAAGCAAGCTCATGGGCAGTGTGCAGAGCCAAAAGAGATTCAGGCTGCTTGCTGATGAATGCTGTGATGATAATGCAACTGTAGACAGGGGATCCCAGGCCAAAAGCTGTTGATGCATCTGGGCAGAGGATGCTGGAAGGTATTCCTGTGTGTGAACAGCCCAAAGGTGATCCCAGATTGCTTCTGCCTGCTCTCTTGAGCATAGTAACACAAATATCCTACAGAATAGACCAATAGAACTTGTGAAGTTTTGTGAGTCTTGGTGTAGTGTAGGTTGCCTCTCCTGGAGCACGGTGATGGGGCAGGGGGCTGCAGTTCCCCTGTGGTTTCCAAGGAGTTGTGAAGAATAATCGTTTCCCCTTTTGTGTGCTCTGGGGAGATGCTTCCCCAGCCTCTGCTGAGGGATGTGGCCAGCTGCAGTGCTGACCATCCTGTGCTGCCGTCAGGAACCACTGGTACAGATCTTCAGAAGCAGCAGTGTATGCATACCAAGCTGTCAGAGTTAACAAGTGACTGGAACAGACCAGAGTGGTAGGAGAGACTCCATGCATGGGGACCTGATGAGGTTCCACCAGGCCAAGTGCCTTCTCTGGTTCTGCATGACACTGAGCTGTGTGTGGGCATCTTCTGCTGGAAATGCATGCTAGAGCCTGCAGCACACCCAGGAAGATGGCTGTGTGTTCTAACAGCTTGAAGCTCAGTTCCACAAGGAAGAGGCAGAAGTTGCAGTGTGCTGGTTGGCTGACTGGTTACTTGCCTTTTTGGTTTTGTTTTCCTTTTGCCACGCCTGATCTCATGCATGGGCAGTTGACTTTACCCAAATCTTCCTTAAAATCCTGCTAGTTAAGGCAATAAATAAACAGTGCAATAAAAACAAGAAAACTCTTGTATTAATATTTTTAAAGAGTACAACTGGAAAAAAAATACACGAAGGTAACTAAGTTCAAACTCGTGTCTTAAAAGTATTAAGCTGGCAATGAAAAGATTTTGCTTAACCTAAATTTCTCAGATTCAAGGTTTTGTCTTTTTTTGTTTTTCTCCCTAAAAGTGTATAGTTGACTGCAGACCAGCACGACTGCATAAGTCAGCTACGGGACTTGTCTTCATATACCCAGGAGAAGGGATCTTGATATTCTCTCATCTGTTTGTGGTATTTCCTTCAAGGACTTCTGATGTTCGTGCTGCTGAGAGACCAGATGCTTCAGTGACTTTTGATCTTCTGTGACTTTCCTAATCCTGTGGCTTCCTGTTCTCTAATGTATTCATCTTTTGAAATAGCTTCTCAGTGCCCCTTACCTCAGCCAGAATGTTTGAGGAAAATCAGCTCTGAAGACTAATCCTTCTTACTAGATCTCTTCCAAAGTAAGGCTGTATTGTAGAAGTACCCAAGTTTCTGTTCAAAGTCATTATATTGCTTATTGATCAGGCACTGTTACCCTTCCATTATTCTTTAAATCTGGCCAACCTCCAGAAAAAAATAGCAGTACAGGCAGAGGCCGTTAAAATGTGACTTGTCATTTCCTTTGGGTAGGACTAGCTGCTTTTGGAACTCTTCATTGCCTTCTTTCTGCTTTGAAAGTTCTTTGATTTATGTGAATTCTGCTTAAAAAGATCACTGTGTTGCTCATTGCATCCTATTATCTAGTCATGTCATTCCAGTGAGGTCTTTCAGTAGCATTCAGACCAGTCCTGTGGTGGCGAAGGCAGCCTCTGTGTGTCCTCTGAGAGGTGTTTCCAGCCTGAAGATCTGTATGGATTTATGTAGACTTTGAGTCACACATCTGTGAGACGTGCTGATACTGGGGGGTGTCTGGTCAGAGGCTGTGACAGATGGGCAGATCCTGCAGCATTTTGTTTTCCGGCGTCCCTTTTGTGCTGGGACAGGAGTGTCCTTGGAAATCACTCATTGTGTGAGTGTGTGTATGGACAGAAGGGGGAAAAGATGTTGTTGGTGTGTAGTGTGAGCTCCTCGTGCTGAGTTCTCCCTGTGCACGTTTACAGCTTACGTACCTTCTTCTCTTGCTTAAAAATCTTGTGGTTTCTGTTATTTTTGTACGCAGCAGGATTGCTTCAGCTTTGGAGGATCTGATGTCAGGTACATGCGCTCTGTCCTGTTCCATCACAGATGTTGCTTGTGAAAGGTGTGGTTCTAGTGTGACTCCACAGATCCTGCTAAGCCTAGAAGTTTCTGATTTGAACAGCTGGCTGTATGTTCACTGGCAGTGCACAGACCATGCATCTCAAAGAGTACTCGGGTGCTGTGAAGAACAGATGGCAGACAGAAGAAAGTGAGCTTGCTGTAAGGCAGTTAATGAAAACTAAGCCAAATCAGTAGCCTTTTCTTAATTAAACCTGCTGATCTAGGTGCAAGTAACAAGCTTTCATGTTTCTGAATTTACAGACTCTTCTGTTGGTTGCTCAGGTTCATTTACAGAACATTGCAGAGCCATTGCACGTCCTGTCGTACTGTTTGGAAAGACACATTTACCATTTTTGTTTCTCCCAGAGTCCTCCAATGCAGCCAGCTTACGCAGTTGAGTTCCTGCCCTCTAACTGGCCGTACCACACTGATGAAAGCAAGAAGACAGAAGTAAATCTGGAAGCTGTGTTTCAGATCGTCGATGAAATGCGTTCGTCCCCGAAAGCTGGAACAGTGAAAGTGGAGCCTGTGGAGAGCCAGTGGTCAAGCCCCCAGCCCAACAGAGGCCAACAGCTGCTAGCTGATACCGAGAACGACGATCCACCTTCGGATGACGAGGGGCAGCTGGAACCTCTCACCCCTGTGGTGTCAGACGTTGCATCGTTTATGGTGGGAGACCAAGAGGTGGCCTGCTCTCTGTCACAGCCCTCGGAATACTTGTATGCTCTGCACAGCACTGCGTCTGTAGAATGTGCAGCTGCTCAGGGAGAGAGAGAACCTGCGGCCACGCAGGAAGCACAAGGAAAACTGAGAGAAGAGCCAGACTACCTTCCAGCCCAGTTCTCAGCCATGATTGTTCGGGAAGCACAGTCGTTCAGCCCACAGAAGGTAAGCAGCGAAGATAAAACAACCTGTGTTCGGAGATAACACCGTTCAGTAGGAATGCTGGGTTGTGGTCTGATAGCTGTAAGTTTTTTTTGCATTCTTAAGAACCGAAGAGTTCTTTAATTAGGACTTTAATGGACAGTGAAGAATCTGTTTGGTAAAGTGTGGTTTAATAAAAACCCAAAACTGTTCTTTTTAAAAGGCAGTGGAAAAGTATCTCTTGTGAATGGCATGTTGGGCATTCTGATGTCCAAAACTTGGCCAATGGTTGCCCACTTAGGCCACTCAGTTGCAAGGGAAAAATGCAAAGTGCAGTTGTATTGACAGTGATGAAGTGGTAGCTTTTTTGAGTTACAACTTACTTCCTTTACCCTTTAATAAAAAAAGTATTTGAAGGCACAATGGTACATTTGGTACCATTGATTTGATACAATGGTAGGGGTACATTTAGAGAAAGAGATGTACATTCTGATCAAGTTTCTGCAGAGATCAAGCTAGTTACTCAGCCTCACGTAGGGAAGAGCACTTCCTTGTGTTGTGCTCGTTGCTCATTAGGGAGTTCCCATTCATTATCAAACTGTTGACCACAGTTTAAATGTTTTCAGCTTTGGCATCTTTGGATCAGCATTTTTAGAAGTGTACTTTTCCTTTTTGAGAGACTTTGGGACTTTGTGGGCCTGGCTTTCTTGTTAGGAATGGAGGACTGGAACAGGTTGCCCAGAGAGGTGGTGCCCCATCCTTGGAGAATTCCTTCCCCAGGCTGGGTGGGCACTGAGCACTGAGTGCGGGTGTCCCTGTTTGCTGCAGAGAAGTTGGACTAGACGCCCTTAAAGGTCCCTTACAACTCTAACAATGTTATGATTCCATGAATTCAATGCATGAGCCATGGCGTTGTTTGGAGGAGGAAGATGTGGGGGTTTTTTTATTCCATTATTCCTGCATGAGAATGCTGGTGCTGGCCACAGTCTGTTTCTCTGGAAATCAACTGGTTAAATAGCTGGGGATTATTCTGTCCTGAAGAGAAATTTGGGCACTATTAGGTCTCTTGTTTGACAGCTTTGCTCTTTTTGTTAGGAGTATTCTACTTCTTGTCTCCCCTTGCCAATCTGGAGGCAGGGCTAGCCTAACCCCACAGCTGCCTCTCCTCCAGTGGTATTTCCTGGATCATGGGCCTGGGATCATGGCAGGTGCAGAACTCTCCAAAGGAGATTCCTATGCTTGTACATCCATTGGGCTCCTACATTATTTGCTCTCTTCCTTATCCCTGAATCTGGAAGGCTTCCACAGCTCTCAGTAGCACAGTGTCATGGAATTCAAGGCAAGCTGATGGTACAATACTGCCCGTGCAGGTAAGGCTGTTTTATTCCTCTGTGTAGCAGCGGAGGAGGAGCAAATTCCTCTGGTGCTAATAAACGAACATCAGAAGAGCTCTGCTGGGTCAGATCGAAGCCTGACTGCCGGTGTCAGGCCTGAAGACAATAGCTGTAACCTGATGCTGAGGGAAGAGCGAGAACAACCTGCACCCAGAACAGGGCACTGCTCCTTGTATTTCCAGTGGGAAATTGGGATGATGCTGCGTACCTGACGTTCAGTTTCTCTTCCCTGGGCTGAAGTCAGCCCTTGAAGCCACGTAAATTGTAGCTCTGACCAAAGAGATGCTTTGCTCGCTGTGTGCTGATGAAGAGCTTCATCAGTCACCTCCCTCCAGCCACTTTCTCCACGCAGTTGTGATTTGGGAAGTCTGTCGCAGCCTCCCAGCAGTCTGCTCTCCAGACTCCCTCCAGTAGCATCCTCTGCATGGCAGCTGCTCCATGGATCTCTGAGTTTGCTTTCAGCCTCTTCTGTTTCTATTAAATCCTTTCTAAAATGAGGAGACCGTGGCTGCACGCCACATTGAAGCTGCAGGAAAACAATGGATGCAGAGGTGTTTGATATTTTGTTCTCTATTTCTTTCGCAATATTTCCTATCATTTGGTTAGTTTTGGGGCAGCTGTTGTGCCTTGTCCTCTCCACTGAAAGCTGTTCACCTGCTTTGTGCTGCTGCTTGGCTTAAAGAACAGCAAATTAAAGAGCAATTCTTTGCATGAAAGGTCTTAGTGCATTCAACAGTCCAGGTTCAGCGTTGTTATCTTCACCTCAGTGAAGGACAGGTGTCCTTGTCTTTACACATTTTGGCCTCAGATGGACATATTTCAATCTACTCACAAGAAATGCTTTCTTCGTAAAGTGGAAATGAAACACGTCTATCATTCAAGGGGAATGTGCCTCCTGTGTTGTCTCCTCTGTAGTATCCCTGGCCAAAGGCTGAAACTCCTACTTGTTTTGGGGAAGGTTAATCCAGCAAACCCCATTTGTGTGAGACAGGGGCTGATCTTATTAATGTTTCTCATTGTGGTTCCAGCTGGGCACTGGAGTCACATAACCACTGAGGCACAGCAGGGTGGGTTTTTTTGCAAACAATTTGGCATTTTTTCAATAAGTGAAGTGAAAAGGCAAAACTTTCACATCTGTCAGCTTTGGTAGCTTTGTTTGATTCTCTGCCAAGCAGCATTCGGGATGGAGCTGCAGCAGTGCCGGGCCCGAGTGAGGAGTCTGCAGATGTGGCAAAGCCATAATGAGAAGCACGTTCCCTTACAAAAATAAAAGAAATGAAGAAGCTTTGGAACCAGATTTATGTGGGCTGGACTGATGCTGTTAGGATGGAAACTGTATTATTGCCAGTTTCACAAAAGACTGTTAGAAGGGTTGGTGGGTAAGATCCTACATAGGCAGTAGAAAGGGGAACGCTGCATGCTCCTTTCCCTAGGAGGCTTCATGACAGAGAAGTCAACGGGAATGGAAGGGCTCCGGTCATGTGTGAAAAGTGTGACCCGCAGCTGCTGCTGTCTGTACCTGCTCTGCACCCTGCCAGCCTTCCCTGTTCCTAAGACTCTGTCTCAAGACTGAACTCGCATTCTGTCTGGTGGAGATAATGAACTACAGGCCTCCCTCCTTCTCTTTGCTTTTACTCTTAGTGAGAAGCTGTGTTCCGATGGCAGACAAAAAGGCACAGTCATCCACAGACGGTTTTCCTATTAGCTAATGAATGCTACTAATGCAGTACATACAGACAACACATTTCAGAGAGCAGATTCTGCCCAGAAGTGACTCCAGAAGTGGCCCAGAAGGCCAGCGAGTCCATGGGCTTGCAGGAGGAGCTCTGTCTGCCTGGGTGTTTCAGATGCTGTGTTTGCACAGGCCTTTTGGAAAACTGAGGTGCAGCTTCCACAGCAAATCTGTCTGTATCTCTGTTAATCTGCATACATGTTGCCTGCTGTATGTTTAATGCTGAGCAATGGCAGACTCAAGAGGGAGAGTGATTTCTGGAACTGCTGATGTCTTATTACTGCCTGTGGTGACCTTTTGCCCTCTGCTAACACATGTACCAGCTTTAGGAAGCTTTTTTTTTTTGCCTTCATAGAAGGAAACACTGCAGGCTCTGAACAATCCCTCATCTTATGATGTTGATTGATATTTGCAGAAGAGCTCAGTGCTCTGTAACAGATGATAGTGAGAACATCTTTCTGTCTGAAGGTGAATTCCAGGTGCTTAATTGTGCTTATTTTTACTTCCTTATTGGGACAGAATCATAGCTTGGTTGCTTGGCTTTTTCTTCCTTTTTATTAAAGCTACACATTTTGCCACATTGTTAAAGAAGTACTCGAGTGCATGAAATGGTTGCCTGCAAAATACACGTGGAGCAGCAGCAGAGGGCTCCAAAAAGCAAGCAACAACATTATAATGCAATGTCTTACCAATTTGATGGGGTGGGGTGAGATTTCCAGGCAAAGGGCACTGCTCACCTGCCCAGTTTTGCATCACACAGCTCTGCTGGGCTGTCCAGGTACACCTGTCATTAGCAATGCAGCTGTTGGTACCAGTGAGTGCACCTGGGTTTCTTCTGCTTCACTTGTCGTGCCTGGTGTGGTGACAGGGCGAAGCTGACACTGTGAGTACAAGCACTCTTCATGTTCTGGCTTTCTGACTTCACGTTTTGCTTAATAAGACATTTTGTAAGAGCTTGGCTTTGGACCTGGCAACCTTGACTCTGAGCTAACAACGCTTATACAGTCCATAAGGTGCTGTTAGCACTTGTTAGATGTCCTTTTGGAGTGGAGAAAAATATTTATTTGTTCGGTTGAAGTGATTAAAAGAAACCATTGAGTCATCTTTGCTTCCCTTGCTGTGTTTTTTCAGGTGGATGCTGGTGTTAAGTGTCCGTTCCTGAGGTCGGAGACACAAGAGGTGGGATGCCTCACTCCAGAAACTGGGCCTGAGAACGAACCTGTAGGAAGCACTGTTTCATCTGCAAAAACCAGAAACAGAGAGAAGAGAAACAGTTCACAGGAGTACAAGTCCCCAGGTAAGAAGAGATGCTATTTATTTATTTTTTTTTTTTTTTAGAGATTAGCAATAGAGCTGCTCTGAAACTGGCCATTACAGAAAGGGGAAGTCAGACCAGGTTAGCTCTTGTCTGCAATGTATTTCTTTGTACCTTCAGTTCAAATACTGCTTCTGTACAACCTCTGAGTGTACTTACTGACACCCTTTGAGAGACACACCAATTGCTCATGTGGGAAAGAGTATAAATTATGAGTAGATGAAACCTGCTGTTCTGGGAGTTGTCTGAGGAACACAGTATTGAGATGAAGCCCATAGATACGTGTGCTGGAGCATGACAGTGCCACAGGGAAGAACTGGGTAATGAAATGGCAACTGAAGTAGCAGGGGGGAAAAAAAGCCACACACACACAAAACCAAAAACCAATGAACTCATGAAGTGTAGAAGCTGACAAAAAATTGTGTTCTGGAATGCTGCTGTGCCTGCTGACAGACATGAGAGAAACAAGTAGGAGAGCAGCTGAGGCCAAACAGTTCACCAAATCTAATAACCAAAGGAAAACCTCGACATCCTCACGACAGAGAGACATGAGAGGACACCAAGGCTACTTCAGATCCGTCCTGGAGGAAAAGTTGGTGTGGCATCCAGGTGTTGGGGAAGCCATTTCCCTCACAGCTGATCATCGAACAGGCTGTAGAGCCATTCCTCACTTCAAAGGGTGGTTTCCAGGTTCCAGTTATGCTAGTTAATAATTCAGCTCACATGCCCATCAGTTTCAAATGTGCAAGTGAGGAATAATGTCTTTTTATCTGGAAGCTATAAAATGAATGAATGAATGAATTGGATGCCACCTTGAACTTCTGTTTAAAATGCAGACCTGAGAGTTCTGGCCCCCTTACTGATAGCACAGACAGCCGGTGTGCTTCTAGTTTTTGTATCTACAGCAAAAGTTTATTTAAGAAAAATATATTATACTTGTGCTGTACTTATATACTATACTTAATTGCAGAGATTAAGAAGAACAAATTTACTTAATGGTTGTAAAGTTGCAGGAACATTTTGGAAAGTGTTTGGAAAGTGTTTCCATGGGAGTGTTCTACAGAATGAAACATTGCTATGCTAATTGGATAATTAGCAGTGATTAGCATAGTAGCACTCTGGGAAACTTGATAGTCATCCGGGGGTGCATCTCCACTGTTGTACCTTTCAGGGCTGGTAGGACAGAGGATGGAGACAGACAGCACACGTGAACCAAACACCATCAGGGTCCAGTTGTCCCAGAGTAAATAAGGCACGTGATCATGGCTGTGGAGATGCAGTGTCCATCTCCTGTGTTCCACCTGCAGGCCTGGAGGAGACGTGTTCAAGTGTGAGCTGACTTCTGTCAGCTTCTGCGTTTGTCTGTCTGTACCTCCTTTCTTCTGTGTGTCTTTGGACACATCCTCTTCTTTTACCTTTCTAAGCTAAAAATGGGCACAGTGACCATTCCCAACTGGTTCTTCACAACATGTCTGTGTGGGAGCTGTGAGGTCACGGCCTGAACAGTGGTTGAGCACCTGGTGAAGGGGCACAGCCAGCCCTGGGAGCACAGGTAGGGCACCCCTCCCTACCTCATTTATGGGCTGGCAGTCACAAAGGAGGAATCTCTACTTGGAGATCACCTCCTTTGGAGTCCTTGGAAAGGGGTAAGCAATTCCTTCTGTATTACTGGATTGTGACTGCTCTTTCGTGTGTGATCCAAAACTGTTTTAAAGCAGCTGTCTCTGCTTCCTCTTATCTTCACACATGTCCTTTGAGTGTAAGTCCTGCAGTTTTCCTCTTTTCCTTTGGGTGTCCATTTGCGTGCTGCCTGAGCCCACGTTTGACACGCATCCTGCTGCACAACATTCCATCTCGTTCCATCTTATTTCAGTAGGTTTGTGACACTGTTCCCTTGTCTCTGCTGTGTGCTGACACCAAGTTCAAGGTATCACACGGTGAGGTAGGAATGTCTGTCAAACAGGGGTGAAGAGGAAGAGTGTCTCTTGTCCTGTGTCCTGCCTCCAAAAACATCTTTGTGCTATTAAGTAAAAAAAAGACCTCCGTGAGCTTTTCTTCCATCAAATTCTCTAGTCACTTCTCAAAGCTGTTCAGGCTTTATTGTTCTATGAAAGTGAAAGTAATTAACACAGGGTAATTACACAGAGGGTGAAGTACCCTGCTCTTTTTTTTGTTTCAAAATGTTTTAAATGTGTTTCCTTCAAGCGTATCCTTACTCCTCATATGCTGGTTGTCTTTGCACATCACAGTCCAACAGCAGGACCTCATCTCCTTTGTTAAGAGCAGAACTGCTTTTGAATTCTCCTTCAGAGAGTCAGAAGCTGCAGCAGATCCATCATCCTGAGTGGGCTGTGTCATCTGTTCCCTTCCTACTCTTTCACGGAGTGTTGGCACGGCTCTGCAGTACCTGGCAGGTTTATTATTGGTTTATGGAGCTCTGAGGGGTGGCTCACACCTTTTGAGGACCACATTTTTCAGCCCCCCTGGCTCAACCTTAGCACAGGGCTATAAAGGTGCTGATAGCGAGTCTCTCCTTGTATTGACTGCCTGCTTGTTCAGCTCATCTGTACACCGGGGTTTTTGGGATAGGTGAGTCAGCTTAGTGTGGAATAAACTTGTCTGCAGCATCTATACCTGCAGCAGGTGTCCTTCTGGCCTTCACAAACAACTGGCAGAGACTGATAGAAACTGCACCCCTCCTGTCTCCTGTTGCTCTCCACAGGTGCACGAGAGTCTCCCAGTCACTCTGCAGTGGAGCTAGTGTCTGCGCTTTGTGTTTCCTCTTCTAAGAGTGCACATAAGAAGGATCAAATTCTCACTGGAGAGGTTTTTGTTTGCAGCCTTTTTTTTTCTGGAAATAGCAGTCTCAGAATGGAGCAGGTGGGGTTACTTCTGAATTGAAGCATCCAGATGCATTTAGGAAAAAGCTCTCTTCCTCTACGGCTATTTTTTTTTTTAAGTATTATTTTTGGTGACTTATCTGATCCTTTTCTTCATACAGTCTGGCAACTTCCTCCAATCTGTTTTTGCACAGGAGCTCAGAGTTAATACTGAGATGCCACTGGCTCTGATGACTCCGTCCCTGTCGTGCTGCAAGGTGCCCTGGACATTTACCACCAGCCTTGCCACTACAGCTGTGCCACTATGCATTCCCTCTCATTTGCTGCAGATAGATTTATAAGTGCAGTTGCTAAGGGCAAATCATCATTCAGCAAAGGTCTCCCATGCTATCACGTGTTCATCTGAATTATTTCCTGCACCTTCCAGAGAAAAATACTCTTACGCTCATCCAGCATTCCTAGTAAGACGAGGTGAAATCATACAGAGGTGTTTGTGCAGGGCCAGGCCTGGCCCAGGGGCACTGCAGCATGTCCTGGAGCAGGATGAACAGGAGGTGCTCTCAGGAGTCTGAACTGCAGCTTCTTGCTCCAGCTGAACTGCCAGTCTGGTTTGGATGAGTGGTTCTTGGATGCTGTTTCTTAAGCAGTTTGGAGTTGTGCTGTTACCAGCTGCCTCCCTTCTCCATCCAGGCAGCTCTTCAGGGTTTGCTCCCAGCAGTCTGCTTTGGAGGAAGCACAGAGCTGCTGCCTTTTCCACAGGTCCTTTGTAGCACAGAACAACAAGGGGGCTGGAATTCTTTTCCTAAGACAAGAATGCAGCTGTTGTGAGATGGAAGTTCACCAGGGTAGTGGTCCTGTCGTGACTTCATGCTGTTGTTCTTTTCCTTGAGCTGTAAGGCACTGAATTTTATCTTCCATACACTGGAAATGTTTCCATTCTACCATGGCATGAATGGGCACGTAAATCACTTTTATTTTTTCTTCTTTGTTTTACACAAAGTTTTGCAAACTGAGAACAATTCCTGTTCCTGTAGATCTCCAATCCTGCTGTTGCAGCCTCTCAGGCCGTGTTCCACGTTACCTGCTAGAACTGCAATCCCTACGTGTGACGCTGAGCAGAACTTGCAGACTGATGTTTACTTGTTAATTTCCTTTTCTTCCTAGATCTCCATCTGCTGGTGGATGTCGCTTGCAAGCAGGAGCACTTTCCAAAGGAAGAAATAAGAGAGTGAGAAGTGGGTGACAAGTATGTGAAAACGTGCAGCAGCTGCCAGCTGGGTTCTCTCGTCCTGCAGCGCTGTGCACACGGCAGCACTTTGCATCGTTTCAGCTGTTGGAAAAAAACGAACACCGACAAAAAAGGCACTATTTGGTAACAACTTTCACTCCGTTGGATATTGGTCACCCCGTGGTTTTTTTTACACCTCTTTCATGACGTTTTCTAGCTGACAAGTTACAAAGCATCGAGCGGTCAGAACTTTTAATATGAACTGATTATTAGCTGCTCATCTTCTCAGACTTGAACTCCCCGTAAGCTGGAACAACCTTGAGAGCTTTGTCTGAACCTTTCTCACTGGGAAACAAGCTGTGCTTCGTGCCGTGCTCAGAATCTTCCTGTTGCTCGTTGCTGGAAGCCGCAGCGCGCCCTGCGCCGCTCTCACCATCTCTGCTTGAAGTCGCACTGCGACCCTGCAGTGGGAATTGTGTGAATTGTGTGTGAAACAAAGGCGCAGGGAAGTCACAGGATTCCAGGTCTGAACGGGTCAGGGGTTGGGGAGAGCTGCTGTAGTTGAGATGAGCTAATTTTCTGAGCGATTACCCAGGAAATGCTCTTCCTCCTAAAGCAGCGCTCTGTTCAGCAGCGTGCCCTCCCAGTGGGTATCCATTACACACAGCAGCTGCTCATCTCCTGCACTGAAGGAGAAGTCTTCTGTTTTAGTAACTTCTTTTTGGTTCCGATGCTCTCTGTGATGGTAAGTTATGTGTTGTGTTAGTACTTTAATAGGTCTTAGGTACATTCTTATCACTATAAATACAATCGCATTTAATAGCAGTTTTAAGTTTTGAATAGCTATGCATTTGTGTTAAAATATTGTTTGAAGGATGAAGGGGGCACAGACTTTATTTATACTGTCAGGGAAACGTACATGAAAGAGTGCTTAGAACATAAATTTAGCTGGTTCATCCATGCTCATATTCTTTAAAAATTAATTAGAGCCAGTCCTGAACAAAACACACATGAGAGGAGCAGGGAGAAGTGGCCAAGACCACCCCAGCTCTACCCTGCAGGACCTCGCGCAGCCTCCGGCCGTGGGCAGGATGTCCCAAGTGAGTGCTGAGCGGTGGGACGAGCCGAGGCAAAGCCTTTAATTATTCACCAGCCGTCCAAACAAATACAGTCTGGGGATGCTTTTAGGTCAAGGCTGGCGGGAACATTTCCATGCTGGCTGTCCTCAGATTTGTTCTCCTGTATCGTACATTACATCCGTGCAGTGCAACTCCAGCTGGTGAGAATAGTGAGGGGTGAGGTGGATGCATCCAAGTCCTGCTTCCCAAATGGATTCCATCACTTCCCTCGTGGGTTCGGGCTGTAAGGAGATGGAGCTTAAAGGACTTCAGCCTTAGCCGACTGCAGCTGCTACTTCTTTAATTCCTGCACAGCACACAGGGAACTTCACAGCTTACCCTTCTTCCTCCTGTTTGCCCCTAGAAGACTTGGCACTTAATGCTCTTTTATAGCCCTGCTCAAACGGCGTGGCTGCAGCAATCTGCGATGAATTAAACTTTGAAACTGAACTATGGATGTTGCATCTGTATTTTCCGTGTGTGTTCTGAGTTACAAAGGACAAACCGTGGTTGGAAAAAATCCTTTGTGTTTCATAGAATCATTAAGGTTGGAAAAGACCTCTGAGATCCCCGAGTCCAACCCATCTCACCGTGCCCGCTGTGTGCCACGTCCCCATGGCTCTGGAGCTCCTCCAGGGGCAGTGACCCCACACTTCCCTGGGCAGCTGTGCCACTGCAGCACCACTCTTTCTGAGAAGCTTTTCCTGCTATCCCGATTTCCATCATGATACCCTGATTTCCTGAGTTCCCACTGCTGTCTTTATCAGCACCCACTGCCCAACAGACCCGTTCTTTCAGAAACGAACCTGTTCTCTCGGCATAACCCACGAATTTCCGTGGAGCTCCCCCGGAGGTTGGTCAGGCACTATTTAGGAAGCCCCCACTCATCTGTTCTGTTGATGCCCCTTCCCGCGAGCAGCGCTGGGCTTTGCGCACAGCTGAACAGCGGCCGCCGTTCCTGGTCACCTCGCAGCGCTCTCCTCGAGCACCGCTCCACCGCGGCCGCTTCACCCACTTCCAGTCGCAGCCCCGCTCCGAGGTTACGGCTCTGACCTGCGGCATTATTCACCTCTCAGCGATGTCAGAGCCGAATGAGAGCTGAATTCCAGACCTCTGACATCAGCCCGACCCGAACCCTCCGCGGCAGCGGCAGCTGGACGAGGGCTCCCGGACGGCAGGGAGCGGGAGGGCCGCGGCCGAAGGGCAGAGCCGGCGGATGGCCCGGCGGAACGGCGGCGGTGCGGAGCGGCGCTCAGCCCGGAGCCCGCGGACCGGCGGGAGGGGGCGCCCGGGAGCGGGGCCGGGCCGGGCGGGGCGGGGCGGGCGCTCGGCTCCGCTCCACCCTCACTTTGTGTCAGCAGGTAGCAGCCCGCAGCCCCGCCGGGCGGCTCCGACGGCCGCGCCGCTCCTCCGCCCTCCGCTGCCGCAGGCGCTGCCCCGGAGGAGCTCCCCCGCGGGATCCGTTCGCCTCCCGATGATGCCCGAACGGCCCGGCCGGGCTCCCCGCGGGACCGCGGCCGATGCTTCGGGCTCTGCCGCTCAAGGCGCGTAAGAGCCGCCGTGCGGGACTCCCTCGGAAAGGCTCCGGCGCCGCTCCGTCCCCAGCGCTGCCCGCACGCGGAGCGCTCCGCCCCGAAGCCGCCCCGCGCACCTCCGCGCACCTCCGCCTCGCGCCGCCCCGTCGTGCAAAGATCTCCGCTTTAAACGACGGTCCGCGCTCTGTAGGGAAGGAAGAGAAGACCGCGAACACGCGGCATCAGGCGCGCCGTGTGCTTCAACCGCTGGAAGTAACTCTGGGGGTTCTGGGGATCCCGGTGCAGCAGCGCTGTGCTGTGCTGTGCTGTGCTATACTGCGCTGCCCAACAGGTTTGCAGATGATTCTTTATTTTTCAATCCCTTCTGAGCGCGCTCCCTGCCGTCCCGGCGGCGCGCCCCTTGTCGGCCCTCCAGGTGCGGAGGGCGCGTTGCTGTGACCCCTGGGCGGACCATGGGATTTGCCTCTGTGCTGCACGGGGCCTTCGATTGGGACCGTGCTGGACGCGCAGCTCCCGGAACTCGCGGCGTGAGAGCAACAGGAGACGCTGCGGCGCTGCGCTCCGTACCTGCCCCGCTCCGCGCTTAAGGGCTGACAGAGTTCGGGGCCTTTTCGGACGTTTCCCGGCAGCTATGGCGGGGAGCTTCGTGCTGTGACCGACCCGGGACCCGCAGCCGGAGTTGGACTGAGCCGGCGGGGGGAGAGCCGGGGCTGCTCTGAATGAAGCATTTCTGGTGCGATGAGAATGGATGGGATCGCCCCGGGTTGGACGGGGACGGCGCAGTAGCAAACTTTTCTTTCTGCTGCAAATTCAAGAAGCACCCCCTGCACGGTTCTTAGCAAGGATCCCAGTAATCACAGGCGGCGTTCAGCGTGCCGAGTTCCGGCACGTGCTGGGAGGTTCCAGAGATGGGCGCGTTGGGCCCAGCGGGAGCCACACAGGAGCCACGGGGACACTGCGCCCATGCAGAGCCCTCCCCACTCCCCACGCTGCGGGGCTGAGCTCTGGGACCCCCCCTGCACCTGAACGGCCCCCTGCTTGCCACCTGCTCGGCCTTTTCTGCCACTCTCCCTGGATTTACTTTCTGCAGGACTGACTGGAAACAGGATTCTTTTTTGGAAGAAACTTCGGATTATTTTATTATTATTGTTATATATAGAGAGAGATATTTGATCAAAGTATGCTCCCGAGCTCCCAGCGGCCTCTGAGCACGTGGCACCGAGGAAGAGAAGCAGCGATGGCACGGAGCCGGGCGGCCGTGCAGTGAGCAGTCTGCTCCAAACTTCCCCCCGCCCGCCCTGCGTGCCCCCCACAGCCCCGTGCCCCCCGCACCCCCCGGAGCCCCGCGGCTGGGAGCAGGGCGAGGGCGCAGCGCGTCCCCAGCGGTATGCGTGGCCCGGGAACGCGGCCGCAGCTGGGAGCATGAGCGGTGGCCCCCAGCTGCAGCTGGCGGTCCTCTGGCCTTGGCTGCTGATGGCTTCTCTGCAGGCAGGGCTCGGCCGCACCGGGCCGGCGCTGGCGGCAGCCGTCGAGTCGGAGCGGGCAGCGGCGCAGAAGGCCATCATCAGGGTGATCCCGCTGAAGGTGGAGCCCATCGTGCTGGAGGGGGAGTTTGCCAGCGTGGCCGAGGTCACTCCCGCCGAGGGAAAGCTGCTCCAGGTAGGGGCAGCTGTGCTTCACCTGCGTCCTTCCATGCTCCCACTCTTCTCCTCACCCCTCTTCCTCTCCGTGCCTCCCAACTAACGTGGTTGGCTTTATGGCTGCACGCACACGGGGTGGTTTTGACGCGAGCTGTCCACCGCTTTGCTCTGCGCCTTCCGTGGAAGCACAGAATCATTACAGTTGGAAGAGATCCCCAAATCCAAGCCTAAGCCATCCCACCATGCCCATAATCACGTCCCTCAGTGCCACATCCCCACAGCTCTGGAACACCTCTGGGGACGGTGACCATCACCTCCCTGGGCAGCCGTGCGGTGCAGGATTGCTCTTTCAGAGATATTCCTGCTACCCATCCTTCCCCTCCCCTTTGTGCTGCTGCTCTCTCACCGTGCTGTGCTTTCAGGCCCCGGTGCTTATGTAAGCGTGGGTCCTTCGCTCTGTGTGCAGCAGTGTTAATTTTGGATGCGGCCGGTCGATTGCATGGAGATTATCACCTATCTTAATTGATGTTATAAAGCTGAGTGTGTTGCTTGAGTCACATGTTGGGCACTGAGCATCTGACCAAAACATGGTTATTTTTACTGTGGGAAATCTATAAAACTTTGCTCACGTAGCTGGGTTCTGCTGCAGCCAGATACAGCTCCAGGTGTTGCCCAGCAGAAGCACTGACCCTGCTGGCTGTAGTCTGTCTGTAGTGCTGGAAGCTGAATTTCACCCATCCAGCGATGCCTCTGGGGTGTCACCACCGTGCGTGTTTCTCAGTGAAATGGATGCTGGTTTCTGCTCTTTGCTATGAAAGGAGAGCCTCTGGGCACCTTGCTGTGGATGCAGATGCTGTGAGTTCCGTGTCTGAGCTCTGTACTGTGATGGCCATTTGCTCATCAGCCACGTGCTTTACTCTTGGAAACCAAAACTGACAGAGCAGCCTGCGTTAACCTTGAAGGTTTTCCAGGCTTGGCTTTCGGAGTCTTAGTGAAGCTGATAACCTGCAGATTTAAATTAGAATCAGAAGTTTGAGCAGGCCTTTGCAGGAGAAGAAATGCCACTGAGGCAGCCTTAGCACGGTCATGTGGCTGACAGTGAAAGCAGGTAATTGATGACGTTTGTAGATCCTGCTCGCAGAGCCTTTTGAACTAATCGGAACGAAAGCGATGTTATAAAGTTATATTACCAGGGTAAAAACTATCTTGGACAAATGCTCTCAAGGTCCCGCCATGTTGTGAGGCAATGTCCAGGAAAGTCAATATTTATTCCTTACAAAAACTACAGTGGTGTTGCAACTGAGCGCAAAGTGTAGAGCGTGGACCTTTTCGGGACGAGGAGGCGATAACCTCTCCTGCGTGACGCTGGGCTGTTTGCAGCCAAACACGGCGATGCAAAACGTGCTTTTGTGTCACGTGCGGCCGCGGGAGCCCACCCTGAGCGCCCACCAGGGAGGGGTTGTCTGTGCTCAGCCACCAAACGCAGCGTTGGCTGAATGAACTTCATTCTTTAAAACCATCTTTGCAAGGAGAGGGGGTTGCAGAATGCTGTTCTCATCTGTTTGTTTTTTGTAGGCCCACGCTGATGTGTGTTGGGCTGGGGTCCTGATCCCTTGGGGAGATAAAGCCTGAGACCCAAAGGGGAATGGTTGAAAATAAGAAGTGAACAGGAGAAACTATTTCCAGTTCGCATTTGAACAGTGAGGTGCTAAATACACCCTGGGAACTCTTGTTTTTGTGTGTGGTGGCCAGCATCCCACTCTTGCAAGGCTGTTACAGGGCGCGTGCTTCACTTTGATATCATTGGAAACCTCATTGGAAGTTTAGCCTGCTCACACATGCCGTCATCACTCCTTCTGTGTGTGCAACTCAGGCACCTGCAGTTACTGAACTAAGAAGCCTTGTTTATTTTGCGTTGGATTGGTCATCTTGGTCCTCACACACAGAATCACAGAATCACACAGAATCACACAGAATTGTAGGGGTTGGAAGGGACCTCCAGAGATCATAGAGTCCAACCCCCTGCCAAAGCAGGTTCCCTGCACCAGGTCACACAGGTCGGCATCCAGGCAGGTCTTGAACATCTCCAGAGAAGGAGACTCCACCACCTCCCTGGGCAGCCTGTTCCAGTGCTCCGTCACCTCACTGTAAAGAAGTTCTTGCGCACGTTGGTGCAGAACTTCCTATGCTGCAGTTTCCGGCCGTTTCCCCTTGTCCTGTCTCCACTCATCACTGAAAAGAGTCCACACATCACACAGCGCACAGACTGCAGAGCTTAGAATGATGGAATCACAGCACGGTTGGGTTGGAAAGGACCTCACAGCCCCCCCAGCCCCATCCTGCATGGGCTGGGTGCCCCCCCAGCTCAGGCTGCCCACGGCCCATCCATGGCCTGGGGCGCCTCCAGCAATGGGAAACCCACGGCTCTGGGCAGGTGGGATCATCTATGGAAGCTTACTGTGGTCACAGCATTCCGTTCACAGGAACCACCTTTAGAGCTGTTGTCCTTCTCCGCAGAGTGATCCCACCATGCCCACCTGCCCCAGCGCTCTGGGTCATCCCTGGGTCCCATTCTACAGCTCTGGGTCGCAGAGCAGTGGTGAAGTTGGAGCGTTGTGTTGGAGCCAGGCTCAGGGATGATGCAAAGCAAGAGGAATTTCTCAAGTAGGCAGAGCCACTTCAGGCTTTATAGTTCAGAAAACCAACAGCTTCGTTTTCTTTCAGAAGTCATCTTCCAGCTTGCTCAGAGCACGAGCTCGCTCGGCTATTGCATGCTGAGCTTTAACTGTTGCCTAGCAGAGGAGAAGTGGCACCGTGTGTGTGCTGGCAGTTTCCAGAGGGCAGGAGGTGTGTGTCACGCTGTGATAGCCCGTGCCCAGGGAAGTCCCTGTATTCAAAATGTAGGAACCAAACCCTTCAGACCAGTGGGCCGTAAGGATCTTTGCTGTTGTGTTTGGATCTTTGCTACTGGGGATCCTGCAGCAGCAGGGGCTCAGTGTGCACTCAGATCGTGTTTTCAGATCAGCTCCCATCCATCGATTGCTAAGGCAGGTTCCACAACCTTTGCTTTTGATAATTTTGCTGTTGTGTACAAGGATGGTGCTGCTGGTAGGCACAGCGCAGCTGGGATTGGTAGAGTCAAGCACAGAATGGTTTGCGTTGGAAGGGACCTCGTGGATCATCATGTTCCAAACCCGGTGCCACAGGCAGGACTGCAAACTGCTCCTGTGCTGGAGCTCTTTCTGGTTCTGCTGCTGATGTTTTGAGAATAACGTTGAAATGTTGAAAAAAGTCCCAAAAAAATAACATTTGAGAAGAGGTAAATAAAGTGCTGTCCTCACTGCAGGGAAGGCAACCCAGCGGTCCATCACCTCACACACCTGCGTGCAGGAAAAATCAGGTAGCAGAAGTCCTACTTTATCACAAGTCTCCCAATACATTGTTTCCTTTCCAGGCAGATTTAGCAGTTACATAGTTAGGTGATTGCATGAGAAAGCCAACTTTCATTTACCTTGTTTTGTGCACATCGTTTTGGCTCATGACTGCAGAAGAAAAGCCTGACAGCAGAGGATGGGCTCCCCAAAGGCTCAGGGCCTTGGCAGGGCAGTGGTGGGGTGAATCCAACACCACCGTCCCAGAAGTGGAGAGTGTTTCCTATGTTGCAATGCACAGTGCTGTTGGGGAATTACAATGGCCTACTTAGCTGCTTGTAGAGGGTTGCACTCCCAGCCCATAAGAAGGTAAATATGTTAGTAGTCTTTATACACTACCAGCTCCTGGATCAACAAAAGGATGTTAAGTGCATAATGTTGACAGAGATCAAAGAAGTGGGAAAGTCTAACCAAATGATAATGGGGACTTAAATTACCTGTGAATAAGCTGGTCAGATAGCACAAAAAGAGTGAGTTCAAAGAGGCCATTTCTGCCTCTTGGAACAGCCAGTACTAGAGTACACAGAAGGATATTCTTGACTTAGTGTTAAGTAATGCACAAGAGCTAACTGGAGGCTGCAATAATTGAGCCACTTGTATTGACTGCGGTATGAAGAAATTCATTGTGTGAGTAGCCAACAGGAGAGCTCTGCCACCAGCTCTCAGAACTGGAACTGCAGAAAAGCGAAACAGACAGAACGGCTCCTACAGCTTGAGAGAAATGCCTCTGGGTGGGACGTAGATATGGCTCAAAAAGGTAAAAGTAGTCTTAGGAAAGGGACAGAGCCTTCGGTTACAAAGGCAGTTGTCACCCAGAGGAAGTGCATTGGGCGACTGGAGTGGGTGATCTTGGCGGTCTTTTCCAACCTTGGTGATGCTGTCATTCTGTGACAGTGGTCAAGAAACTATTTGGGCCAGATGGATCTTTTGAAACGTGGGCATGAAGTATTAGTAGGGGATTGGCATCGTGTGCACTGTAGGGTTGGTATAGTGTAAGTCATTGGCATTAACACAGTTGAAGCGTACCTGAAAGGTGAGCCATTGCAATCCACCTGCAGAGCTGAGCTTAGGAGCAATGTTTGGCCTTCCATGCTCCCTTGAGAGCAGGGGCAGTGTGGGCAGGGCAGGGGGCAGCCCCGAGGACGCCTGGCCACGCACCTCGTCCTGGAAGGAATCCCAGCAGCAAGTGGACGTTTCCCAAAGATAAGCTGGCAGCAGGGCTGTGGCTACAAGGGAGAATTTCTTTCCCTTCTGAACTTCTGTGGTGCTTTCTGCTGGGTGGGCATCGCATGCAGCTGATGAGTGGCCATTCCAAACTGCACATGAATTCGTTATTTCTCCATGGAAGCTTTCAGAACGATCCAAGCAATGCAGACCTTGCAAGCTTTGTGTCAGCAAAGAGGGCTCCGTTTCATTGGGATTGCTTTTAAACAAAAATTGGGACATACATTTTTATGCATCGAATCTCTGTTTCTTTCCATGTTTAGCACTCTCAGAATTGCTGGGGGCATTTCCCCCAAAGTCTTTTATTTCATCCAGAACCAAGAAAATTTTACATATTAAACGAGTACAGTGGAAAACCTGTGAT